CATTTTGTTTCAACATAGTATGTTGTCTTTCATTTTGTTTCAATATAGTATGTTGTCTTTCATTTTGTTTCAATATAGTATGTTGTCTTTCATTTTGTTTCAATATAGTATGTTGTCTTTCATTTTGTTTCAATATAGTATGTTGTCTTTCATTTTGTTTCAACATAGTATGTTGTCTTTCATTTTGTTTCAACGTACATTTTGTACACGTGTTTTGCATTTTGTTTCAATATAGTATGTTGTCTTTCATTTTGTTTCAATATAGTATGTTTTCTTTCATTTTGTTTCAATATAGCATGTTGTCTTTCATTTTGTTTCAATATAGTATGTTGTCTTTCATTTTGTTTCAATTTAGTATGTTGTCTTTCATTTTGTTTCAATATAGTATGTTGTCTTTCATTTTGTTTCAATATAGTATGTTGTCTTTCATTTTGTTTCAATATAGTATGTTGTCTTTCATTTTGTTTCAATATAGTATGCTGTCTTTCATTTTGTTTCAACATAGTATGTTGTCTTTCACCATAATGTACTTTTTTCATTTTCTCTCTTGCTATTTTCAGGAGATAAATCTGAAATTATAGACATCGACAATCCTGACATTGCGAAGTATCCTAATTTTATAAACGTGCCTCGATACGAATGTCAATTACAGCCCGGTGATATATTGTTCATTCCAGGTCAGTTCATCCTTGTATGGTATAAATTTTACTTTCATTTGTCACAAAAAGATGCCGTTTTGATTTCAATTTTTTCACATTCTCTGTAAGAATAACTAATTTTAATAAAGGCAGGGAAATCTCGCATTGTTTTACAATCGTTTCAACTTTGTTAACTAGAAAATACTTTATTCAAAATATATGAACCTATTGTAATAAGGAAACTTGTTTATTTCTTATTTTCCTGTAGCACTTTGGTTTCATAACATGACATCATTAGACTTTGGTATAGCAGTCAACGTATTCTGGAGACACTTGAATGACAGCTTTTACGATAAGAAAGATGTTTATAGCAACAAAGACCCAGTTATTGCCACAAGAGCTAGTCAGATTCTGGACCGTGCTTTAAAAACATTGGATGAATTGCCCGAAGAATATAGAGACTTTTATGCAAGAAAAATGGTGACTAAAATACAAACAAAATGTTATTCTAAACATCTTGTCTGAATTATATGGTACAATCATTTTTATTGGTTCTCTACTCAATGCTACTCAGGTCAGCAGCCAATTGAAAATGTGGTTGTTAATATATAAATTTTATCTGGTGAAATATAGTAACATGATTATAAACTGATAAAACATGCAGTACGGTAACTGTCATTTTGTATTAAATTTGTCTGCAGACATTCACAGATTGCAAACACACATCGTTTTGTTTTATTTTTTAAGTATTTTGACCAATTTGCTTTTTAAAAAAAAATTAACTTGTGCAATCTCTCTCATTACTTAAAAAATGCTTTTAATTATGTATTGTACATGTGTTGACTGCATGTTTGTGGTGTACCAGTTTCTATTACCATCAGTATCAACAAGATGTTCAAAAAACTGTTTTTGAATAAAATGCCTGTATGTAAATTTAGTCATCAGTGATTAATTATTCAATTTGAATTAATCATATGACCTAGCATCCAACCATATTATTCTCGTTTTGCCAACATCAATATGACATTTAACCTAAACCCGTCACAACTATGATATGTACTTGTTGGACTACTTAGGCTGATCAAAATGATTCCAGTGCCTCTATTTAGACTAAATTTTGGACCAAGTTTATGCATATTAGGTATCAGTCTGTGGAAGCGAAATCCCAAAAACTTCAGTACAAATTACATCTGCTGGCCGTTCATCCTAACCTCTACGCCATTGCTTCTTCATTGATATTTATATACTGTGGAATACTTTATTTTCGCTAGAATTAATTTTTGCTGAAAAGGCGTTTTGCTTGGAATTTATTTTCATGTGAAATATAGGAAATCAAAGAAAGCTTAGAAAGAACTCCCATGTGCTGAGAGTATTGGAGACACATTAAATATAATTCAAAATTACTTAGCTGAAAACCAATTATGCAAATCAGAAAATTAATATGAGCAGATTTGAGTGTAAAACTAATGAGGTCTGCGCAATGTAACAGAAAATCTACGTTTCCAAGTTTAATTGAAATGTGATTAGAATCAAAAAATTATGAATTATTATTCTTATTAGGGAATTAATATAAACAGATTTTTACCCCAAACTAGGTTTGTACATTGTCCTAGAGCATCTTTGTACTAAGTTTCATTGAAATGGAATAATTAGTACTCTAGATATCAGTGTTAGCTTAAAATTGGTTAATTATGCAAATTAGGTAATTAATATGTACAGATTTTAACTCACAATTATCCAGGTCTGTCTATTGTCCTACAGCATCCATGTACATTCTTTGATATGTGATGTTTAGTACCCGAGATATCAGTGTGAAAGTTGGTTAATTATGCAAATTTGGTAATTAATATGCACAAATATTTACCGGAAACTAATTGGGTCTGCATAATTCTAGATTCATTGAAATGTGATGATTAGTACTTTAGATATCAGTAGAAAAGTTGAAAATTAATATGCACAATTATTTTACCTTAAAACTAATCAGGTCTCTGCATAGTCCTAAAGGACTATGTACCAAGTTTCATTGAAATGTGATGATTACTTGAGATACCCTGAAGCTGAAAATTAACTAATTATGCAAATTAGGTGATTAATATGCACAAATATTTATCGGAAACAATCAATCTCTGCATAGTCCTTGAGTATGTAAGTACCAAGTTTCATTGAAATGTAATGCTCACTACTTATATCAAATGCTGAAAATTAATTATGCAAATTAGGTAATTAATATGTACTGATATTACCATAAAACTATCAGGTCTGTGCAGTGTCATATGACATCTATGTACCAAGTTTCATTGAAATGTGATGATTAGTACTTGAGATATCAGTGGGAAAACCGAAAATTGACTAATCATTATGCAAATTAGGTAATTAGTATCCACGGATTATTACCAAAAACTAATCAAAACCTAGCATTAGTTCAGAGCATGTATGTACAAAGTTTCATCAAAATCCAATGAGTGGTTGTTTAGATATCAGTGGAACAATCATGGAACAGCTAAAAATTAGCTAATTATCATGCAAATTAGGTAATTAATGAGCATGGATTTTTACCAAAACCTAATCAAATCTGCGCATATGTTCAGAGCATCTATGCACCAAGTTTCATCAAAAACCGATGTATGGTTCTTGAGATAGCAGTGGAACAGTCGGACACACATACACACAGACACACTAACTGCAAAGACTCCCATTATGTGCTTCGCACATGGGAGTCAAAAAAAAAGACAAGACGTAGACGCTTCCAGCATGCAAGCAGAATACAAAAAACATACAGTTGTAAATGATAAGTAAACTTTTTCACCCTTATCTCGCAACATGTCGACAACTTCTAGTCTGGCAGTTTCCAGTGGAGTACTGTTAAATATTTTTTTTTCACGCATTTTTTTCTCCGAAGGCATTATAAAACTGACTAATTTTACATTTGACGTTTCGCTGTAACGATCACCGTGCTGATAGCATTGCGATGTAGTAGTGGATAAACACCATTCAGACCATTGCTGTGCTGTCATCGATAACTAACATTTCAGTGGCAAAATACACAAACGTGAAATGCTCGGTTACTTAAAAATAAAAAAATACCCCGAAAATTACAGAAACATCGGCAACGAGATGCTGTTTTTAAACACCGCGGAAAAATCACGCACTCTGCAATGCCATCTTGGTTACCTTAATCGGAAA